CACGCGCTACGAAGCCGCACACAGTATCTTAGACAGGTTTCGTCCCCTTTCGGGAACACCTTCTTACTAGCAAGGGATAGCCTTATGCAAATATACCGGGGGGAAAAAAAAAGGGAAGATATTTATTTTTTAATAAAATAATATTACACACAAATTCAAAATTTTATCTTATTATTTAACTACACATTTCCCTCAATATACTATTCAAAATATATTTTTATGAAAATAATGTGGTTCAAACAAGGGCTTCATGAGACTTACAACTTTTTAATTATACATTTTATCAATTTTTATCAAATAATAAAAATCTAATTTTAATTATCACCAAATAGAGGCATAGTTTATTCTTCAGTTAAATATTTTAATATTCACTTAGCTTATATTATGGTTACTATTTACTCACTAAACTTCAAAGTACTTCACAATATTCACCGAGTTTTGTCCGTTGCACTTTATCCATCATCCAATTAGATTTCGTTCTCCTTGTTGATGTGTCAAATAGAAATACAACATGACAAATCACAACTATTCCAAAATTATAAGTTAGTCAAAACATCCAAGTGAATATTTCATTATGCACCCAATGATTATGGTTTACTCGTCAAACTTTAAAATACTTCCCAATAATAACTCATATTTGAGAGTTGCACCTCGTTCATTATCCACCAAATTTCGTTCTCCTAGTTTTTTAGGTGTCGCACGAAAACTTTACTTTGTAAGTTTCGACTGTTATAAAAATTACAACTTAATCAAATCATCTAACTCATTAAAATAATCACATGTGAAAGCGGCCCCATAAACTTCTTTAAGCCCAATATTTCGTCCTTGGTTTCAACCCAATAAAATTCTAGCCCTTAATTCACTCATCTCATGTAAGTATAGCTAAATTGTGTGCTAAGATAGAACCAATTGTTTGAGAAGAATATGACAATCTTCTACTTGTAAACTCATATCCCTTAATAATACCATCTACTCGACTTCTCTTTAATCCTAATCCTCCATTTTTGCAAGCATTTGTCCGATCATTTGAAAAAAGAAATGTCATCGAACTCTGATGGCAAGTGTACGATTGGAATGCCTTCTCGATTGTGTTTGTGTTTCTTATTCTTCATTCCTCAATATTATTGGAGTTCGATGACATTTTCTTCCTCAAAAAGTTGGACACAAGCCTACAGCATGGAAGATTGTGATCAGAGAGACGTTAGGCAGATTATACAATTGGGAAATAGTGCTTTATAAGTAGTAGCTTCTCGTGTTCTTCTTAATAATCAATCATGTCCCAGTGCATAATTTAGTTGTACGTGGGTGAGACGAGTAAATTGAGAGTTAGGATTTTTTGGAGATGAAATTGGGAATGAAATATTGGAGCTTAAATAAGTTTATGGGGTTGCATTTCACATATGGCAATTTTGGTTAGCTGGATGGTTTGACTGGGTTGTATTTTTTTATCAATCGTAACTTGCCACGTTGAATTTTCACGCGACACATCAACAATGAAGGAAATGAAATCTGGTTGATGATGGATGGAGTGCAACTCTCAAAGATGAGTGGCCATTATGAAGTATTTTAAAATTTGATGAGTAAATCATGACCATAATATAAGTTAGGTGAGTAATGAATTATTTTACTTGGACGGTGTGACTGAATTATAATTTTTTTAATGAATATAACTCGTCATGTGAAATTTTCATTTGATACGTCAACAATGATGAAATGAAATATTTTTTATTAACGAATGGAGTGCAAACCTATAAACTTAACTGAGCATGTGAGGCACTTTGAATTTAGTCAGTAAACCGTGACCTTCATATAAGTTGGGCGATTATTGAAACATTCGACCCCTACGTTTTAAAAGTAAAACGGGAAAAAATAAGTCTACATATTCATTTTTATCATGATAAGAATTATAAAAATTAAAATAATGACTATTATTAGCACATTATCAACTATTTATTGGTGGGTTCTTGTGAGAATTTAGTTGTGCATATTTTCCTTATATCCATAGGTTGATAGCTTTTCATGATAACGGTGAAGTAACTCTCATGTATGTTAAAATAATAATAATAATAATAATAATAATAATAATAATAATAATAATAATAATAATAATAATAATAATAATATACATATCTTAATTTTGTTGAAGTTAAAATACGAAAATATGATTCAATACAATGTACTCTAATAAAATCTACAAATAAATAAGTTGAGTGACTTATAAGTTAATCCAAACATGATTTAAGGACTCCTATGAGAAAAACTACATTACTCGTTCACACTCCTTTGAACGTTTAGCAAGTCATCATTTTTCTATATTTTAGTGCAAAGTAGCATTTATTTCAGTTCCTTTTTTACTCCATACCTCCTTTGAACATATAGCAAGTCATCCCATTTCTCTTTCACACATGCTTCATTCTGTGACCATTTATGACAAATTTAAATGTTTAGATGAATAAAAATCGTACTTAAAATCTCGCATGCATACTTTAATTTTAATAATGAAATCTACTAGAAATTTCATAAATCTATACCCATTAAACTTTAAATCATTCCATAATTTCCACTTTGGGCTTAAGTCGAAAGAAATCGAACCAGGATTCTGGAATCAGCACGACTATAAAAGTTGATGAATATGTAAAGGCACATGTTTAGGAAAACAGTATCGAAAACATTAAGATTTTTTTTCCCTTTTAATCTTTTTGAGTTCATATACAAAAGGATCTGTATATACATCGTGTCCAAGGAAAAAAATGAAAATAAAGCGGAAAGACAAATGAAAGCACATACAACGCAAAAGCCCTCAAACACACAAAATTTAGTCAGATACAAAGCTACTGCTCTAATTCTAGCCACTGTTCTACATTTGAACTAATCTGTAGTCTTGGCAGTAGCTATACTGATAATATACTCGATCTCCTCAGCAACTTCTTTCATCGAAGGCCTATTTTGTCTGCGTTCCTCCAAGCATCCGACAGCAAGAAATCCCAACGCTTTCATAGTCTCCAACTCCAACGTGCTTGATCCCTCCTTCAACATTGGATCAACTGCGTCCATTATCCTCTCCTCCTCAACCAATCGCTGCACATAAACCGCCAAGTTCACATCATCCTGAGGTCTATTGAAATCAATCGCTTTCTGGGATGTCAATAGCTCCAACAACACAACCCCGAAGCTATATACATCACTCTTGTCTGTCAACTGGTAGTTTCTGTAATACTCAGGATCGAGGTATCCTAGCGTACCTTGAGCACAAGTGGATACATGACTGAGGTCTGTATGAGCTAATCGAGATAACCCGAAATCTGAAACCTTTGCTTTCAGCTTCTCGTCAAGCAAAATGTTGCTCGACTTCACATCCCGGTGATAGATGGGAGGAACTGCAGAGAAATGAAGGTAAGCAAGCCCCTCAGCGGTTGCATGGGCAATGCTGAGTCGGTGATTCCAAGAGAGAAGTCCCCGAGTTCCACCTTGTAAATTATCTAAGAGAGTTCCATTTGAGACGTATTCGTATACCAGTAAGGGCTGTTCAAGCTCAACGCAACAGCCAAGAAGGCCGACGAGGCACTTGTGGTTAACTTGACAAAGTATTCGAACCTCGTTTAGGACTTGGTCAGTTCCTTTGGTGTTACCCAATTTGGCACATTTGACTGCAACAACAGTTCCATCTTCAAGAATGCCTTTATAGACTTCACCATAACCACCAGCTCCAAGGAGGTTGTCTTTGGAGAAGTAATTTGTTGCTTTCTTAATTTGTTTGCCAGTGAAAACTTTAGCAGATTTTCCACCACCGTAATTAAGGATCTCTTCACGTTCTCGAGTAAGTCGGTCTTGCTCTCTCTTGATGAGCTGATGCCGCTTGTAGAATAAAAATGCAATTAATACCGCTAATAATGCTACACCAATGCCTACAATTAGACCTGCATCCGTCGCAACAATAATTGATGAGCAACCAATTCGTGACTGAAAGATGACAAGGTCGCTTTTAGTTGTCCTGCTATTATTATGGGAATGGTTTCTGCCAATTGAATTAATCAGTAAAACTGTAATCCCAAAGTAATAAACGTTGGTTCATTAAATGGTCAAGAAAGACAAGTCATCCACTGGCTACTTGGATGCGAAAAATAAAACAGAATTATGACATCAATGAACCTATGACATATCAAATTGACAACTATGTGTCTGCGTCAATTATGCAAGAGCAGAACTGGGGATATTTAGGGTGCACCTTTTGACAATTACCAGCAGTCAAAAATTCTGATTCAATGAAAAATAATCGAATTGGTGGTAATTTATTTTTGCTCTGATAGTAGACAAAAACATGGATAATTTCCATTAGAATGAAGGGTCGTGGCCAGCGGAGAATACCACAATAAGAACATAAATCTCATACATAGTCAAACCTACCAACCAACCAAAATTTAGAAGATTGTTTACATGGTCACAAAAGGTTGTCTGAAAATTGAAGGTAACATTTAAGGATACAAATATGATCAGTGTGTGATATATAACAATACGTACCTGCTATAAGCCCAGTTCGATCTTTACCACAACCATCTGGATCCTTGCACTCTGCACATTAGAAGCAATCAGATGACAACTAAAAAGCATAGCATACGGTTCACGTTTTGTATGAATCCAACTGCACAATTTTAGCCCAACCGAAAAAGCTAATTAAAAATTTTCTTTAAAAACTATGTTTATAGGCGAATAATGCTATTTGCATATCATGGTATATAGATTGACATACAGAACGATGATGTGGATTATAATAATCAACTTCTGACTGACTTCTTATTCTTCTTCTTCTTTATTTATTTATTTTTTTTTCAGCTTTTTCTTTCTCTCCCTCCCATATCAGTACTTCAATTTGTAAACCATGATATACAAATAGCATTACCTGTTAATAGGCACTCAACAGTAACACATAATGCTTAATGTTTTTTACCCTTAAGATTTTATATTTTGAATCTAAAATAGAAGAAATGGAGAGTTTCATCTTCTAGAAAATAGAAAAAGCAACGTTGAGAGCCTTACCTGTCGCACACAGTCCGGCAACCGGGTCCCATTGCAACCCGGAGTTACAAAAGCATCTGCTGACCCCACCAGCCGAGTTCGGGTCGGGTCCACAAGTGGATTTCGAATCGCAATCCCCTTGTGTCCTACAGGTGGGCTCTATGGGCAAAACCCACAGCAATTCCACTCCAGGCGGCGGCCACCTGCTCACCGGCAATCCGTAATCCAGATTCACGAAGCTCCTGTACGCCTTGCAACCCGAATCCCTGACTCTTATCCTGTACGCCGTTGTGGATCCTCCTGCCCTGAACGCACAACACAGCGGGGCGTCGACACAGCCACTCCCGGCCGTGCCGTTGATGTACACGTGGCAGAGGCTGTTGGAGGTGCAGTTTAAAGGGGAGTTCATTATGTTGGCGGAGCAATTAAGGTAGAAGATGGTGTTACTGCCGGTTATGTTGAAGGGGGCAGAGGAGTTGAGCTGGAGGCCGTTGGAAGGGAGATCGGATGCGATGCAGGTGTTGCCAAGGAAAGGCGCGGGCGAAATGGTGAGTCGTTGGATGGATGGGGAGATGGAGGTGATTGGGTAAGTGTTGTTGACGGAGTCGAAGAAAAGGGAGCCGGCGTTGCATCGGATTTTATACAACTGGTCGCCGCAGTCTGGAGCGGTGCTGAGAGGGTAGGGGACTGGGGTGGAGCCACAGTTGGGGCAGACCTTGAGGGACAGTGCACATACGGCGTAGGCTAGTACAACCGCCGCTGTTAAGAGAAGTGGTTTAGGGGCCGTGAGCGTCATAATAGGGGAAGTGGCGGCGGCGGTAGCGTTGGCGGGATGAAGGTTGACAGCGGATGGTTGCGTGTTATATATGTTGGTGGGAAGTTGGAGCTCATAAAATTTTATTTCTAAAATGATATTTGGGTCAAAGGTATGACATTCGAGAATTCTGAGGATATTGTGGAAAATAATCGATTATTCAGTAATGCTAGAGGTTTCTCTCATATTGGCCACCAAACTTCAAGCTGTTTCAATTTGATATATTATTTGCAATGTAATGAAAAGCTGATGAAATATATAACTCAACCACATAACCCAAGTTATATTTTTGACATCATAATTATTTTAAGCACTAGAAAGTACAAATTTTATGTTTTTTGTTTCGAAAGAACGAATTTTCAACAACAGGGTACACGTAAATACTTGTTCAATTTTATTAAATTATTAAAATAGGTCGTACATTATACTAATAAGATCATGATTTTTATCTAACGGGACATGAGTTCCATCAATTTGGGTAAAATTTAAAAATGGAACAATCAAATTGATATGATGTATATGTTGAATGATGAAATTGAAATAAAATATAAGTTAAGGTGATTAAATTAAAAATAATTGAAGTTGAGTAATTAATATGAAATAAACATACAAGTTGGATGACCTCTACTAAAATTTTCCGCCAAAATAATGTTAAAGTCAAATATGTTTGAGCAAAATTTTTCAGTTGTCTTTTGTCTTGAGCTTGCTTTCTCTTTCACCATCTTCAAAAATACTCTTGACATTTAGGCATTAAGTACGCTTTTCATTATTTTTAAAATACATTTTTTTCTCTTTTTTATTTTAATTACATATTTTTTTATAAAATAATATTACACGTAAATCTAAAATTTTTTTTATCTTTTAACCACACGCTCTGTATCAATCTATTGTTCTAAAATGCATTCTTTACCAAAAATGGAGCTCAAACTGGCGCTGTATAAAAAAGTGACAAGATGTTATGTTTCGAAGAGCATTAGTTTATGCTCAATGAGCAATGCTTTATATACAATAATTTTGACAATATTATTGATAACATGTCATGTGAAATGTTGTTATTGGACAATTTTTTTTTCAACACTTTTTTGTCACAATCAATATTGTACAAAAATATTGAACAAATAGATTAATTCTATGCTCAATTATAGACCAAACTCTGCATTATATTCCACGAAAACTTATCAATATTTTAATCGTTCAAAATAAAAATGTTATTTTCTAAAATCCTAGTAAACAAAGACGGCTCACCAAATCCTAGATATTCTCTTATAAAGAAATATGAGAAATGACCAAATTATTATTGACTTGCAGGGCCATCTAGAACACTGAAGACCTCTAAAAAGTCTTATTTAAAGTAAATAATTATTCAACCGCCCTACAATGACCCAAAAAAATTGACAGAAACTCTAACTAACATTCACAATAGGGGTGGGACCACATTTTTTTGAAATTGTTTATGAGTAAAGTCAAATGATCTGCGAGGATGACCGCATCGATGACCATCCACTCACATAGGTGCGTGGGTCCTATGTGAATAAAATAATGTTCGACCACCCATGTGTGTGTATACGGTCATCTCATTGTCAAACCCGATGTTCATGTAGCATGGTTGATTGTTTATTCATGTGGGGCCCTTGGCTTGTGAGAGATTGTCAAAGCCTTTGTCATTCATTTTTTGGTCAAAGAAGCTTTTTTCCTAATTAATAGGGATAATTGCAAGAGCTATGCTATATGCTAATGCAAACACTCGACCAATGAATAAAGCTACATGTATGCCCCTCGGGACATAGCTCAACTGGTGGATCAATTAACATTGTCTTGCTTCCAGCGGTGGAGAGTTCGATTCCTGGTGGGAACCTGCGCCCAAAAATTTGGTATGGAGCAATCACTGTGGAGGAGGATCTCTTGTGCGCAGAAGTGTACAGGCAATGGGGGGAACCTGTGATCCAGTTGAGGCATAACCCGCGATTTACCCCCTCCAAGGTTCTAGGAGCAAGGGTCTTGAAGGTCCAGGATTTAGTTTGGTGTAAGTTGGGATATCTGGATATCAAAAAAAATAAAAATAAAGCTATATGTATAGATTAGGTTTCAAATGGACTTTACAGGATTTTGACTTTGGTGACGTGGCAGTTCATTAAATCAACCAAAAAAAAGATCAAAAATGAAATAGAAGAGTGAGGGAAAAGAGGGAGGGGAAAAGAACCATTTGTTCAACCCGTGTATAACTCCCCCAAATTGGAGAACCCATTTTGCACGAGAACAACTCCGGCGTCTTCCGGTGGAAATCATAAAAACAATGTGTTTTGTCTCATTTATCACACGTTGCCCGACCATATACCTTCAACTTCCAGTGTTGGAGAGGCGTGAAAATTCTCGTTCCCTGAGTTCTTGAGCCCTAAAAACCTTGGACACCTTCTCCAAAGCCATCGCCTCCATTCATAATGGTGAGACAAAATCGTCGGACTCATCTCCACCTCTAATCGGCTCGAAACAAGTGAAGAATGTACTGCATAAGCATTACCCAAACATACCTGTTGAGATTTAAAGGAAGTGAGCCCTGTTGTTCACCTCCCCCCGTCGCGAAAACACCACCACAGTTCTCCTTCTTCGTCCAACGCCAAACCACCACTGAAGAACACATCTCCGTCAAGTTTATAAAGTTAATGGGGGAATTAATTATGTTATAAAAATTCAGACCTAGATGATATAACATAATTATTGATTTGCAATTGAAATTTGTGTGAATGGTCATTTATTTAGGAGGTGGAGTCGATGAATAACAAGCTTTTAGTCAAGAATTTGCTTGTTTGGGAATTCAAGCAATGAGCCTGAAAAGGGGGGGATGAGTTGGTGAGATTAATAGAAAGAGATATGCATCTTATTGCTCTGTTCTCTACTGCGGCAAAGTGTTTAGGAGGAGCTGTGGGGATGGTTTTGGTTCTTTAGGAGGATATGCCTAATACCTGTTGTAGGTGTTGTGATTTTAAGTTTTGAAAACTTTAGCATTGAACATGAATTATTCTGGATCTTCTTAGTTCGCGTAGTATTGGCATTTGTTTTATGTGGTTGTTTTGCATCTTAGAAATGGGAGGAAGGAATGCTGTAGGTGGTTGTACCAGGAGAATCAAGTGGTGAATCCTGCTGCCAAGGAGGACGTCGAAGATTTATCAAGCGTGTTTGAAACGCTAGCTCGAATAAGTGAGAAAGGAGACGTTGAGATTTTATTAAATGTGACATTCCACAAGGAAAAAGGGATTGACGAAGGGAATTCGAAAGGAAAGGGGCTGGCTTGATTAGTAGTGAGGAGGGGGATTCTAATATTATTGTAATTTGTATTTGATATTGGGAAGTGTGTGTAAACTTTGTTCCTTTTATTATGTTTGGCATCAGTATATCTCATTCTTGCCATGGAGTTGAGCTCTGCATTTTATGTTGAGGGTGAATGCTTGAAATATTGAATAATAGTAAAGGAGTTTAATGAAATGAAGTTAATATAATTTAAGTTGCCGTGATGTTTAACATTTCCCGTTAACCGTCCACATAATCTGTCCAAGTTGATGTCTTAGACGTTACAAGATAAAATTGAAAGAGACCTATAGTAAAGCAATTTCATTGAAACCATTACACAGAATTACAAAACGTTTATAACTCCTTGTAATATCACATTATTTGCACCTTACACAATCAAAAACAAATATAAACAAATTTCCAAAATTCAGCACTTTCACAGGTTATAAACAAATGGAAAACTGATTCCAAATCATATTCCAGCAAAACCAAGTGACAGAACAATGTGCAGCTTCGAAAATCTTCCAAAATCAGCATTCATAAAAACCAAGTGATATCTCTTCTATAGCAATATTCTTGCTTGATGCTGCAAAACAAAAAAGTACATATAATATGAGACAGTATGAGAATTTTCTAAGGTTTATTCTGGAAAAAAAAAATCTTACACATTAGTGGATTAACTAATGGCCACAGTTGAATTGCATAGTTGAAAAATGCACAACACTAATCCTTGCAAATACAGATCTTCCAAAGCAGCAGATACTGGAAATAAAAAATGCACAAAACTAATCCTTAAAAACACAAATCTTTCGAAGAAGCAGGTGTTGGAATTTAAAATTGCACAACACTAAAAAAATGAGGAGTGTGGCTCACGTGAGCAAACACCGAGGTGGAGAATATGGCCGGGAATCCATATGATCTTCGCTAGCAAAAATGCACAATGTGTCTCAGATGAGGAAACACCGAAGGTGTAAGTTATGGCCTGGAATAAATTGTTGGGATGGAGTTTTCAGGGCTCAAGAACTCGAGGGACGAGAATTTTCATACCTCTCCAACACTGGAAGTTGAAGGTATATGGTCGACCAACGTGTGATAAATGAGACAAAACACATTGTTATTGCGATTTCCATCGGAAGACGCCGGAGTTGTTCTCGTGCAAAATGGGTTCTCCAATTTGGGGGAGTCATACACGGGTTGAACAAATGGTTCTTTTTCCCTCCCTCTTTTCCCTCACTTTCCTAATAATTTTTTGATCTTTTTTTTGGTTGATTTAATGAATTGCCACGTCACCAAATTCAAAATCCTGTAAAATCCCTGTGAAACCCAATATGTACATGTAGCTTTATTCCTCGACCAATAAGGAGGTACCGCATCGTCACCTGATGGATAGGGTCCATGTGGCCCTTGTTAAGGGAATAGATCCCATATCGGTTAAATACCGAAATATTGACTAATTTAAATAGATCTTGGGTCACTCCTCTTAAAAAGGTTGACCTTTTTAAGATGGACCTCAAATCTTAACATGGTATTAGAGCCTAGTAAGCTCCAACGAGCTATTCGATCCGTTTAAGTCGAAAAATTGAGCACACGAATTTCAAGATTGGTCTGCTAAAAAAAGGCCATCATCTTGCTGACCCCTGTTAAGGGATGTGTTATCCCACATCGGTTTAATACCGAAATAAATACCAATTTATAAATATCTTGAATTTCTTCATTTAAAAAGGTTGACCTTGTTAAGATGGATCCAAAATCTTAACAGCCATGTCCAAAATGAATAACTCTAATTGGAGTGATTTAAAGCTTGACTATGCTGAAGGTGGTCCCTGTTGGCTCGGAGTAATAATTTATTCTGATTATTTAATAATATTTAGTTGTCTGAAAATTTGTTGATTTAGAGCTTGTTTGAGAGTTTTTTCATTGATTTTGACCGATTTTAGATTGAAAAATTGGTGCTTGCTAGTTTTTTGGGTACCGATTTTGGATGATTTAAAAATCACCCAAAATCGATGTATTATAATTTTGATGGGTTCTCTTAACTCACCAAATCAATGAATTTTGGTAGATTCTTATATTCTCTTCTAATTCTATCTTCTATAAAATAATTGTTTTCCAAAAACATATATATTTTTTAAAACTAACTTGCAAAATGAAAACTTATTAACTAAAAAATTAATTGCAACAAAAAAAATAACATTATAATTAAAAAAAATAACATTATAATTAAAAAAAATACTAAGTAAAAGATTACTTATAATATAAAAAAATAACATTATAATTAAAAATCGCCTATAAGTAAAAAAAATTGTAAAATAAAAATACTATTAATAAGACAAAAATTTACTTATAAAATATAAAAACTTACTTATAAGTTTAAAAATTCACTTAAAGTTATTTAAAAGTATAAAATTAACTTATAATTGTAAAATTACTTATAAGTAAAAAATATTAACTTAAAATTTTAAGTAAATATTCAACTTTATTTAAATTTTGAAGTTAAATATTAACTTATATGTAAAATATTACTTATAAGTAAAAAAATTGCTTATGAGGTGAATGTGATGGTGGTGCTGCTGACTGGTGTGTTGTGAACTTGAGGTGACGACGACGTTTTATGGTGGTGCCGACGGTGGTGGAGCATTGCAAGAGGTGGTTGTGCGTTCGAAGTGGAAGTGGTAGTGGTGAAAAGTTGTGGATCTAAGGCAATGACAATGAGATATACTTGACTTATTTTATAGATGATGGTAGTGTTGTTTCTAGACTATAAGTTTCTCTTTCGAACCATTAAATTCGAGTTCAAAGTTGACCCAATTTACTAATTAATTAACCATTTCGAACAAGTAGGGATATCAAAATGGACCAAGCCAAGCTAGCATTTTCACCTGCAAGCCGCTCGTGCGGCTCTCATAATCGGCTCCCGAGGTGAAAAAATTCAATTTTCAATACAATTTAATGAGCTGCACGTGTAGCTCGTGCGATGGACATTACTAGACGAGGCTCATAAACGCATGCTTTAGTCTTAACTGACTTGGGAGAATATTGTTTAATATGTTATCAGTGTAACATATTTTTGGCACAGCCAAATACACATTCTACTAGCTATCAAAACTCTTAGGCCATCTGCAACCTTGCTTCAAATTTTACATCATTTTGCATCAAATTTTACATTAAATCTTGTATCAAACTAAAATTCATCTCCAACAATTACACCAAATAAGCAGTGTTTAAACATTTTCTTCCCTTTTTTTACTCTTTATAATTTATTTATTTGAAATATTATTTATTTAATTATTTTATAAATACATAAATTACTAAATAAATAATTACGTTAAATTACGGAAAAGATTAAATTCATTAATAAATATAAAAAAACACGGAACAATTAATAAAAACACTACAACAACGAACATATGAAATCAAATTAGATTATCGTATGTATGTCGATGTTTAATATATTTCGTGTTAACTTTAATAAATAATCGTGTTTATTGTATTTTAAATTGTTTTCATCTTTTAATTAATTTATTAATTATTATGTCTTTCATTTAAAATTTATTTTAAATGCAAATAATAATAATAATAATAATAATATTATTATTATTATTATTAATAAAATAATAATAATTTATTGTATTGAAAAATATATAGCACAAATGACATAAATACCCTTAACAAATTTATTTGAAAAATGTTAAATAAGGGCAAAAGAGACATTTTACGCTTTGCACCAAAATGGTGCAAAGTTTGATTTTGCATTGAAGCAACTTTGCACCAAAAAATGATGCAATCATTGGAGATGCCGTTAGGCCTATCTTGAAGAGAGGAATCGGTGAATTCATCACCCTTATCAACTGACATATTACGTAATTTGTGTCTTAAGATTTTAAGTATCATTGTCAAAGAAAAGTTAAGGTGATTAAAATGGTTGATTCGATATCTACCGAAAGTAATAATTGAATATCTACATATGCTATAATTAAAAAAATAGATTAACGATATATATCAAAAGATTGTGAATAATTTAAGTACTGCCGTTGAATGTTAATTGTTATTTCAATAAAATTTACAATCCGAACTAAACTATAGGTTGAGATCCATAATAGATAATTACTCAGTGATCTCAGCTGTTGCAATATTGATAATGTATTCAATCTCCTCAGCAGCCTCCTTCATAGAAGGCCTGTTTTGTCTGTGTTCGTTCAAGCACCGTACAGCCAGAAACACCATAGCCTTCATGCTCTGAAACTCCATCTTGCGTACTCTTTCCCCAGTCAACATTGGATCAACCACGTCCATTATCCTCTCCTCCTCCACCAATCTCTGCACGTAAGCGGCCAAGCTCACGTCATCCTCCTCTCTGTTGAAATCAATAACTTTTTGAGATGTCAATAGCTCCAATAGAACTATCCCGAAGCTATAGACATCGCTCTTATCTGTCAACTCGAACTTTCTGAAGTACTCGGGATCAAGGTACCCGATTGTACCCTGAGCACAAGTTGATATGTGACTCAGGTCCGTGTGGACCAATCGAGATTATCCAAAATCCGAAACCTTAGCATTCAGCTTTGAGTCGAGCAAAATGTTGCTGGATTTCACGTCCCGATGATAGATTCGGGGAACTGCATCGAAGTGAAGATAAGCTAGTCCCTCAGCAGTTTCATGGGCAATGCTAAGTCGGCGAATCCAAGAGAGAAATCCCTTCTTTTCACCTATTAAATGATCTAACAGAGCTCCATTCTGAAAATACTCATAAACCAGCAATGGTTGTTCAAGCTCAACGCAGCAGCCAAGGAGGCCGACAAGGCACTTGTGGTTAACTTGACAAAGTATTCGGACCTCGTTTAGAACTTGTTCAGTACCTTTCGCGTTACCCAGTTTTGCACATTTGACTGCCACAACTGTTCCATCTTCAAGAATTCCTTTGTAGACTTCACCAAAACCACCAACGCCAAGAAGATGATCTTTGGAGAATTGATTTGTTGCCTTCTTAATTTCTTTGCCAGTGAAAAGTTTCGCTGATTTGCCACCACTAGCATTAAGGATTTCTTCCCGTTCTCGGGTAAGTCGTTCTTGCTCTTTCTTGATGCGCTGGTGCCGCTTGTAGTAAAAAAATACAGTCAGTACTGCTAAGACTGCTACACCGAGGCCTGTAGTTAAACCTGCATCAGTGACAGCAATCAATTAGTGATTGAAAGTTGACTAGCAATCTTGTTAAATTGTTGTCCTCCTACGGTTATGGGGGAAGCGCAAATGGTCCCTAACCTTCAAATCTTGAAGCAAACATGTTTAACTTATTAAAAAGCTTCGACTAAAATGACTATTTTAGTTAAAAAAAATAAAATAAAACAATAAAAATTGAAAATTAAGAAGTATGAGAAACAAAAGAAAAATCAACTTATTTTACCGACCAATCCCACATAAGAATAATCATTGATTGCATAAAAAAATCATGCCATATATGCAAAATAGAATGTAGTTTTAAAAAAATTCTCTTGAATGTAAGTTGAAAGGGACTCCATCTAAATTCTTAAACCTCAGTTGTATATGCTAACTTGAAAAAATTAATAATTTCATATACAAATTTAAATGTGATTTAGTTATTAGTTTAAGAATATAAAAGTCACGTAGGTAGAAATTTATAAAATGTATTTGGAAATCAATTTTGAACTCGAATGCCTCTCAATAGATATTAAAGTTGTGTTAGTTTGCATTAGAGATGTATGTTTTTAAGTGCCTTTATTTTGCTTATATGACACAAATTTCAAGTAGCATGAGAGATTGATTGGTAGGATGAGTTTCTTTTATTTTTATTGAGTTATGCTACAGTTACAAAGGAGGTTGATAAAGTTGGATGACAAAATCATATCCACACCGATCATTATAAAAGCAGATTTTTAAATTATTTGAAATCAATGCCCTGAATTTTGCCAATACACTTTGTAACTCAACTTTGTATAAGAGCTTTATTGATTTTTGTTTATATATGTTTCTTTAATTTTTCCTTTCACTTTTATTTCACCAAAGCAAAAGTTTTCAAGTTTAGAAAACACGAGAAATTCATTTGTATAGAGTTCTGTCTTTTCTGCATTTCTGTCTTGGTGGTGGTGTAGTTCAGGCACTAGTTCAGTTCGTCGGAGTGGTTTCTGCGGTGCTCAGAAGCTACTGATTTTACAGTTGTATCCTCGGAAATGGACGCTCATTTTAAACCTCAAGCACGGACGGTGAGGGGGCGAATCTGTTTTAAGGAAACTGTGTGTGATACAGGCCTCGGTTTAAAATTTAATTTCCTGCAATTTCAATTATTCGTTCTGTTATTTATTGCAGTAAATTCAATAGTTGATTTGTTGTTCATTCTGTTATTATCCAATTAGTTGTACGACTGTAACTTGCTGTTATATATCATCTTACTAGACAAAAGGCATATACGGTATTGAAATCGAGAATACTGGATTCCATATTTTTCATAAACGACCGAACTGGTGAAACTTGGGATTTTCCCTACAAGCTTAAAACAGATTCTCAGAAAGGAAAAATTGGTTTCCTATATTGATTATTTCTGAACTGATTAGTTTCTTATATTTGTTATATTGTGGAAACTAATTTGTTGTTTGGTTCTTTCAAAAGACGAAATGGCAACCGGTTCCACCAACATGGATGTGTCCCAAGCTGTAGATATCCAAACTCAGGCTGTGGGTTCTACTATGGGTGCAGTTATGGCTGCAGGGCTTAGCTCTGTTATGGCTCAGACTGTGGCTGAAGTGCCAAGTCGTGTTGTGAGCCAACATGTGACTAATGTTCCGGTTAATGTGCCGGTTAACCATGGGGAAAAGCCGGAGAAATTCAACGGCTTGAATTTCAATAGGTGGCAGCAGAAAATGCCGTTCTATCTGACCACCTTGAATCTTGCAAGATTCTTGACTGAAAGTGCTCCAAAACTCCTAGAGGGTGAGGTGGATGTTCAAGCAATCAGTGCTGTTGATGCTTGGAACCACTCGGACTTCTTATGCCGGAATTACGTCATGAACAGTTTGGCAGATTCGCTATACGTGTATAGCACCATGAAAACTGCTAAGGAGTTGTGGAATTCTTTGGACCGAAAATATAAGACTGAGGATGCCGGGGCTAAGAAATTTATCGTCGGTCGATTCTTGGACTATAAGATGGTGGACTCCAAAACTGTAATCAGTCAAGTGCAAAAACTTCAAGTAATTCTTCACGAAATTCATGCCGAAGGGATGATTCTGAGTGAAACTTTCCAAGTGGTTGCAATCATTGAAAAATTGCCTCCCACGTGGAAAGATTTCAAGAATTATCTGAAACACAAGCAAAAGGAAATGAACGTTGAAAATCTGATTGTTAGACTTCGAATTGAAGAAGACAACAAGAGTTCCGAAAAGAAGTGGCTCAATCCTGGTGCGGCTAAGGCCAATATTGTTGAACATGGTCAAGGTAGTAAGAACTACAAAACCAAAGCTGGGCCATTCGGTGGAAAAGGGATCAAGCTGAGACCAAAAGGGGGCATTCTTAAGAAGAAATTTTAAGGGAAGTGCTTCAACTGTGACAAAGTAGGCCACAAATCTTCGGAGTATAGATTGCTAAAGAAGAAGAACGAAGCAAATGTGGTTGACTACATGGCACATGATGTGTTGGAGATGAGTCTCGGAGCAATCATTTCTGAAGTGAACATGATGGGTTCTAACCCAAAAGAATTGTGGATTGACACCGGAGCTACGAGACATGTGTGCTCTAATAAAGAGTTATTTACTGCTTTTGAAGCAGTTGAGAATGGAGAGAATTTGTTCATGAGAAATTCAACAACTTCTGAATCAAGGACCAAGGAAAAGTGGCTTTGAAGATAACTTCGGGAAAAGAGCTGACTCTCAACAACGTGTTGTATGTGCCGAAAATCCGCAAGAACCTTGTGTCCGGGTCGCTTTTGAATAAGCATGATTTCCGCATTGTGTTTGAGTCAGACAAGGTCATCTTGTCGAAAAGTGGAATGTTTGTCGGAAAAATGTTATGTTTTCGATGGAATGTTTAAACTCAATGTAATGGTTGGTAAACAAAAAATGAATAATAAAGTGAATGCTTTTGTTTACTTGCTTAAGTCTTCCAATGTGTGGCATGGTAGATTAGGACACGTTAACTATGATACTTTATGTAGGCTAGTTAACTTGAAATGCATACCAGCATTCCATGTTGATTCCAAACATAAGTGTGATACTTGTGTTGAAGCAAAAATTGACTAGGTCATCCTTTAAGTCAATTGAACGAAATATAGAATCACTTGATTTAATTCACAGTGATATATGTGATTTAAAATTTGTATAAACAAGAAGTGGCAACAAGTATTTCATTACTTTTGTCGACGATAGCACGAAATACTGCTATGTGTAAAAGCAATGATGAAGCGATAGAGAAATTTGTTCTCTATAAGAATGAAGTTGAAAATCAACTTAACAAGAAAATTAAGGTGCTAAGAAGTTATCAACGTGGTGAGTATGAAGCACCGTTTGCTGAATTCTGTGCACAACACGGAATCATACATGAAACCACCGCACCGTATTCACCGCAACAAAATGGTGTTGCTGAAAGGAAAAATCGCACCTTAAAGAAGATGATGAATGCGATGCTAGTAAGTTCTGGATTACCTCAGAACATGTGGGAGGATGCTGTGTTATCAGCAAATTACCTTTTGAATAAGGTGCACCGAAAGAAAATGGAGAAGACCCATTATGAGTTATGGAAAGGAAGAACGTCTTCCTGTAAATACTTACGAGTGTGGGGGTGTCTTGCTAAAGTGACTGTCCCAACACCAAAGAAGGTGAAGATAGGCCCGAAAACTGTAGACTGCATATTCACTGGATATAACAGTAATGCTTATCGGTTTCTCATGTATGAATCTAAAATTCAAGATATACACAGAAACACGATAATGGAGTCGAGAAACGCTTCGTTCTTTGAACATGTGTTTCCATGCAGGTCCGAAGAAGAGGCAAGTTCTTCTAAACGGACGTATGAGACTATGACTGGACATAGTCAGGACCAAGAACCAGAAGAGGAGATTGAGGTTGAACCTAGACGTAGCAAAAGGGAAAGGACAGAAAAATCTTATGGTCCGAATTTTCTGACCTATATGCTAGAAAGTAAACCTCAAAACTATCAAGAGGCTATGTGTAATACTCCGAATTTTGTGCTCATTTAATTTTTAGGATAGCAATTTAACTTTTCAAAATTTATTATGGCCAAAATTATTTATGGTTGCCAAATTTTGCATTGGTTGATTTATTAAAAGTTTTCCAAATAATTTGTTAATTAGGGGTTTGGGATAAATGTCCATTTTACACCTAATTACCAAGGTAAACATTTTTTCCTCCTCTTGGCCGTGAGTGGGGTGGCTAAGGCAATGCATGAATTGTTTAAATTTAAGCATGAAGTGGCTAAGGCATGCATAGGTGTTTAATTGAAGTTAAGATATTCTTTCATGCTGCCCACGTGTAGAATTGGTTGAAGAATCACCTTAATTAATCATTTTTTTCTTACCTATAAATAGTAATGTTGCTTCCATTTATTTCCTTTGCAAGAAAAATCAAAATATCATTTGTTTTAAAGGGCAGTTGACGTGAGAAAGAAAGGATAAAGTCTAGCATTCTCAATTCATCTTTCAACCAAGATTTCTTCAAGTTTTATTGTAAGATATTTTCTATGCTTAAGTGGTAGGATTTCATGGTAATATTTATGCTTAAGTTATGCATGAAAACCATAATATGAGAGACGTGGGCAAGTCCATAAAGTTAGATATCTATGCCTTAGGACGAGTCTGAAGGGCACCGGCAAGCCGGAATATGCAAGTATGTGTTTGAATGCTTTCTTTTGTGTAGTATTAACATGTTAAATCCAAGCATGGTATCTTACTGAGTATTCTTTATACTCATAGTATTCCATGTTAAATTTCAGATTCATAAATGTAAAGTTGGTGGAAGTCAGTCGGCAAAATCGATGATGGGTCAAGGACAAAATTATTTTTACGTCGAAGTTTCTGCTTTGTATGTTTTGTTTGACTGCTTTCCATATGTTTTGCTTTTGTTATTATATAAAAACATATATAAGACATGATGTAATATGGTATAGGAAGTAAATTATGTAATTATATCTATCA